GGAGGTATGTGGCTGGGCGTAAGGCCCAGCCCCCTCGCCCAACCCCAGGGCACCTCTGAAGGCTCTTCCAGCTTCACAACCTACCATGAGGTTGGCTGAGGCTCTCCTTGAGTCTGTGTCCCAGCCAACTTCTTCCCTCACCTCCTGCTCCCTTTCCACGGATGTGACCCCAAGAGCATAACCTGATCAACCTCCTGCCCGCAGATCTGTGTCAGGGTCTGCTTCCTGGGAACCCAATCTGGAAATACTGTTTCCGGGGAGTAGACAAAAGCTGCCCCCGTCTCCGTTTCTTCATTTGCAAACAGGAACTAATGAAGGAGGCTGCATTACATAGCTGTCCGTCCACTGTGAGGGTCAACAGGACCATGTGTAAGACACCACGAGATCAACTGCTCTGTGTTCCACAGCTGGCCTGTTAGCTCGGGGCATGGGGCAAAATTCCTGTAATTCTTGGCTTACTGGTCTCCTTCCCCCTACAGCATGAACCCCTTGAGGTCAGAAACTATGTCTTGTTTTATTCATTCAATTCACTCGTTCATTCCATTTCACCTCCTCCCACTCATTCATCCCATGCATTCACTATATCTTGTGATTCATGCAGTTCTATGGTATTTATTCACTCTAGGCCATGCCTCTGATTTTATCATTCTATTCATTCATGATAGTCCATTTCACTCCATTTTATCCACTTCATCCCTTTTCATTTCCTTCATTCCCTGTATTCCACTTATTCAGGTATTTATTCCACTCTACCTTGTTATTGAATGAAAGCCGCATATTCCATTCTATGTGCCAGTGGCGTGACAGGCACCAGGGCTTAGTTCTAGACTGTTGTGAGGTTGCATCCACCGGATTTTAGGGCAGAAGGTGGCACCTGGTTTACCTGCTTAAGGGCGTATGTGTGTGTGTGTGTGTGTGTGTGTGTGCATGTGTGTGTTGGGCACATGCATGCTGCTTTCCTAGGATGGGGAGGGGCTGTGCGGGCCCACACTCACTGTTCCTTGGTTTCTTCTGCTTTAGGGAAAGCTGTGTGTTGCTGAGGCAGTAAGTTGGATATGAACCTAAGTCAAGATGCCTAGTACCCATGGGGGTCAGATTCTAGTCCTTGGCCTCTCTGAAGCTAAATAAATGTGATTAATTGAACTGACCTAAAACAAATGATTTTGCAAAATCTTGGAAAACAGTTCCATTCCTTTTGGTAGGTCAAACACTTCTCCTGTAATCCCTTTTCAATGCCAGAGAGTTACTTTATCATGTTATATATGTGAGCTGTCATTTATAGAAAAATGGGAGAGCAGAGGCAAGTAAAAAAGGGAGGATTCCTGATGCCACCCCCTAGAAATAATCAATGCTAATGTATTGGTGTGTATTTCTTCACATTTTTCAATGCACATATGTACATAAAAATATGTGTTTTATGCCAGTGGCTCACGCCTGTAATCCCAACACTTTGGGAGGCTTAGGTGTGGGGATCACCTGAGGTCAGGAGTTAGAGACCAGCCTGGCTAACATGATGAAACCCCATCTCTACTAAAAAAAAAAAAAAAAAATTAGCCAGGTATGGTGGCGTGTGCCTGTAATCCCAGCTACTCAGGAGGCTGAGGCAGGAGAATTGCTTGAACCCGGGAGGCGGAGGTTGTTGTGAGCTGAGATTGCACCATTGCACTCCAGCTTGGGCAACAAGAGCGAAACTCTGTCCCAAAAAACAAACAAAAAAATGTTTTTTTGCAAAAACTGAAATATAGAATACATTATGTTGTATAATTCATTTTTATCAATTAGCAATACATTGTGAGCATTTTTCCAAATCAATAATTATGTACCATTTCAATAGGGGCATAGAATTCCATTGCATAAATCTATATAATTCCATAACCAATTCCTTAAGCTTGAACATTTGCCCCACCCCACTACTCCAACATTTTATGATCATAAGGTATGTCCCTGATGGGCATCCGTGAGCGTCACCTTCTTCTGTAGTTGTCTTTATGGTTATTTCACTTAGCTAATCAGGTGGAGATGACAGATAAAACTCAAACCAGCTCTGTTCAAATCATGACAAATTTCATTTTATAAAGGGAGGAGATTAATGAGGTCAGTTAGGTTGGAATCAGGCAATGTTATACTGTAGTTTAAATGCCTCACTTCTGCCCTTAGTAGCATCTGGCTGCTTCCAGCAGGGGGCGTTGTGAGCCAGAGCCTCGTCAGGCGTGGACACTCTGCAGGTGCCTAATTGCACGGTGGGTTCCCGTCCCCTACCTGGGGCCCTACCTGTCTCACTGTCTGTTGGCAACTCAAGTTCCTTCTTTATTTCCTTGTTGTTATTGTTATTATTTGAGACACAGTCTGGCTCTGTCGCCCAGGCTAGAGTGTGATGGTGTAATGTCAGCTCACTGCAGCCTCAACCTCCTGGGCTTAAGCAATCCTCCCACCTCAGCCTCCTGAGTAGCTGCAATTACAGGCATGTGCCACCGTGCCCCTCTAATTTTTTAAATTTATAGTAGAGATGGGGTTTCCCTGTGTTGCCAGGCTGGTCTTGAACTCCTGGGCTCAAGCGATCTGCCTTCCTTGGCCTCCCAAAGTGCTGAGATTACAGGCGTGAACCACCGTGCCTGGACTCTTTCTTTCTTTTGCTTTCTCTCTCTCTCTTCTCTTTTTCTTTCTGTTAATTCAATTATGCTCACTTACATCTACCCTGGACCAGTTCTCCCAGATTCTGCTAAATACACTTATCAAGGTAGCAAAAGCTAGAGTGCTATTGTGGCAATTATCCTAATACCTTTTAAAAGTTTCACCATTTTAAAGTTTTTAGCATTTAAGATTTTCCTTTGAAGCCTCCTTTCATCTAGGGAGTACAGTGTTAGCCACACTAATGATATACAGGTGGCTGTCCTGTGGCCATGAGAGGTGTGGATATACCAAATAGAAATGTGTCCAGTGTTCGGGAAAGATATTGGTTCTGGTAATGCCTCTCAGTATTGGGATCTGTTAATTTTGTAGATCTTAATTCTTTTCTGCTCTCCTGATTTAGAGACATGGTTTGCTTAAAATGCTGGCAGCAAACATCAGAGTCAACAGGAGCTTGCTTTGTGGGAAGGACCGATGTGATTTGTGGATGGAGATGATAGTGATCAATGTCTTAGTTTTCACTGGGCTGTTTTTCTTTTCATGGGTAGTCATTTTTAATTTGCATAGCACTCCTGTGCAGCAGGTATGGCTATTATCCCATTTGATGGGGAGGGAACTGAGGCTTGGAGAACTCACACACTTGCCTCAAGTCTCATTTATGGGAAGCAGCAGGGCTGGGGCTTGAACACAGGGCCATGCACCTCAGGGTCTTTGCACCTGCCATGCCCCCTGCCTGGATATGCCTTTACTTCTCTCTGCAAGAGAACTCCTTTTCATCCTTCCAGTCTTGACTAGGATGTCAGCTGCTCAGGGAGGGCCTCCCTGCCCCCCACCCTACACAAGCCGTTCTCATCACTCACCACTTGCTTTTATTTTCTTCATAGCACTCACCACTGCGTGGGGGTTATCTTGTTTGTTCATTTCTTTCCTGTTTATTGTGTCACATCCCCACTCCCCCTTAGAATGCAAAGTCCAAGGGAGCAGCGACCTTGTCTTTGACCTCTCTGAGTCTCAGTACCCAGCACATGGCAGATGCTCAGTAACTATTTACTTACTAAATGAATGGAAAATTTCTGCCATCACTTTGGAAGCTATCAGCTTTTGATCCAGTTGAGGCGGGCAGGGAGGCGGGGTGGGTGGGAAGAAGAAGAAAGGGAGAGAGAAAATAAAGATGGTAACCTTTTTGAGCAGGGAGGGCATGTATTTTGCAGTGAATACATGTGCTGCTCCTGAGTCTGCTGTCCCTTCCCTTCCCTTCCCCCACTCCTGCTCTGCAGGACATCACAAAGGGACTGCCTCTTGCAAGCAGTGTGTCCCTGGTTCTCCTTCTGTCACTAGGCTCAGCCAATAGGCAGTATTGTGGGGAGGCTGAAGGGGAGGAAGAGGGAAGCCAGGGCATTTCTCCCCACCTCTCTGGACAGGTCTTTCCTTGGATGGGGTTTCCCAGGGGCCATGTACCCTCCATGGCCCCAGCTTTACTGGGCAGGCTACTGTGACTCCAGCTTCCTCCTGTAGCCCTAGATCCTGGCTGGTAGACATGCCCCCTCCTCTGTTTGTTGCTCGCCCTGCAGATGGGGTAGCACTTCTTGCCATTCATCTCTGGGTTGCCTGGTCACCCCTTTTGTGGTTTCTTGGCCCTTCTCTTCCTTGTATAGCCAATTCTCTGCATCTCCTTTGTTTTCAATATCCAAGGTTGTTTCCATTTTCCCACTGATTAATAAAAAACCTGTGCCTTTGTTATTAGAAGAATGAAAATATAGGCCAGGTGCAGTGGCTCATACCCATAATCCCAGCACTTTGGGAGGTCAAGCCGGGGTGGATCATCTGAGGTCAGGAGTTCGAGACCAGCTTGGCCAACACAGTGAAACCCTGTCTCTCCTAAAAATACAAAAATTAGCTGGGCGTGGTGGTGGGAGCCTGTAATCCCAGCTACTTGGGAGGGTGAGGCAGGAGAATCGCTTGAACCCGGGAGGTGGAGGTTGCAGTGGGCTGATATCGTGCCACTGCACTCCAGCCTAGGTGACAAGAGCAAAACTCCATCTGAAAAATAAATAAATAAAATAAAAAATAAGCGTTAGAGAAACCACAGGAAGCCGGTTCTTGAGGAAGGGGAGAGGCTGAGCAGGTGCCTGGGCCTGGGCGGGGGCTGTCACCTTTCCCACAGGCCTGCTGTGTGTGAGCCCCACATGCCTGGCCGGGCAGCGGCTGGGAGCTTGAGTTCCAGATTTATGCGCCCGTCACACTGTGATGTATTATCGGACAGCTTGTTTTTGCAAGCGATAGATTTATTTGCACCAGGAGCTGCATAATAAGGATCAAGGACTCTTTCTTTCTCTTTTATTTTTTTAAACTCCTGCCATGCTAACGTGTTCCCCAAGGTCCCTGCCAGGAAGGGCATCAGAGAGCTCAGTGTGCTCTGCTGTCCCGTGGATCACTCCAAGCTGTCACTGACCTCCAGGAAGGAAGAAGGAGGGGTTCCATGAGGAGTCTCCATGCAGGTCGTGACAGTGCGGTCCATGGTTGAATGGCATCAAGTTGAGCTCCTGATCTCTCTTGGGTGGGCTCCTGGCTCTGGATGGCTGTGGATCATCAGGCAGGTCAGTGTCCTCAGCTCTTAGGTAACAAGGGATATTCCCAGAAAAAGATGGCTCAGCTCAAGCTGAGGTTTCCCTTCCCTGCCAGGGCAGCTCTGTCACTGTTCTCCGGAAAGCAGGTTGGCCAGGTGCATAAGTGGACCTAGGTTCACATCCCAGTCCCACCAGGTGGAATCAGGCAGTGTCTTCACCTCTCAGCCTCGGTTTTCTCTTCTGTTAAGTGGGGACACAATAGTAATATGTACCTCAAAGGGCTGGTAAGAGGATTAAGGAGGGACCTACAGGGTAGGGCACACAGTAGTTGCTCATGAAATATGAGTCACTTCACTCCCTTTTCCCTTTTCCCTTCTGCTTTCACAGCTGCTCATCAGTCCGGCTGGATGAGAACGTGGTGTGTATCAGTCAGGATGTATTTGGTGGTCGGCAACAAAAAGCTCAACTCAACTAGCTTAACCCTAAAGAAGATTAGTTTGTCCCATGTAGCAAGAAGTCCAGAGGTAGGCTGGCTCCGAGACTGACTAAATTCAACAGCTCAGCGATGTCACTAAGGACTCAGGGTCGTCCCCCTGCCCCCCTGGCCTGTCCCCCCACTGCCAAACACCATCATTTCAGTGTTGGTCTCACACTCTGGCTTTCCTCACAGTCACAGAGTGGCTGCTGCAGATCTGGGCATCGTATCCCTACTGAGTAAAGTCCAGATGTGCACCTGAACCATCACTTTCCTGCATCTCTGAGATATGAGGACCACTTTCCCAGAAGCTGCTAACCTGACATCCCTCCCACCTCATTGGTCCAAATCGGACGACAGACTGATTCCTGAACCAATCACCAATAAGAGGGGGAAGGAATACCTGGTTGGCTGTTGGGCTATCAGCTGCCATCACCACTAAGGAGAGGCTGGCTTTGAAACCCTGCTGCCATTGCCCTTCAATTTCTCCACTCATCTCTGGATCCAGCAAGAGCCTTCCTGCCCCTCAAGACCCTCATGAGTTTCCAGTCCAGCAGGTATTAGGACCAGGGGCAGGTGTCCGGGAAATTCCTTCCACCACGGCCTCCACTTACGTGACTGGCCAGCTTCCTCTCCTCTGTGGGTTTAGAAGTCACCCCCTGGACACCGCTCCTTCCCGCCCTGTCTTAAGGGGGTTTTCCAATTCCCTAACATGTCTCAAGTCACTTTCCCAGGCTTTCTTAGGCTTTTGTGTCCTTACAGCATCGGTCTTCATGATCTTTGCCTTCTGACTGATGGCCCCCTTCATGACGGAGGGATCCCGCTCACATTTTGTCCAGGTCACCTCGCCTACCAGGACCCCTACCCCTCATCTCACCAGGGCCCGCCGTGGGGCATCCCCAGAAACACAGGTGGAGCTGGTGTGTAGGAAGGTGGGAAACAGTTACTTTTCTGGAAAGTTGGTGTCCTCTGGGAAGAGCTTGTGAAATTGCAAGCCCACCTCCTGGGAGACGCATCAGCACAGGGGGATGGTCTGACATCCAGCTTTTCTGGACTTAGAGTTGGTTATTTGTTAATGACATTCCTGGCAAGTTACAGCTTTGAATGGTTCTGCCTGGATCAACTTTTATGAAGCCAACACCAACATCTTCCTGGATTGTCTGACTTTGACCCACTGTAGAGGACCTTGAGCCCCCAACCAGCCCACCACAGTGGGGTGGGGAGGATTAGCGATGGACTGACAGAAGCGATGATACTGGGGGGCTGACACTTAGTTTTCCTGCCCTGACTTGGGGTGTGGGGTGTGGAGTCCTCAAATCAGTTTCTGCTAGCCAGGTCCTTTTATTTTCTACCTTATTTTTCATTGAAGTAAAACTCGAAAAGTTACTCATTGTAAGCTGAGCACCGTGGCTCCCACCTGTAATCCCAGCACTTTGGGAGGCCAAGGCGGGCGGATCACTTAAGGCCAGGAGTTTGAGACCAGCCTGGCCAACATGGCAAAACCGCATCTCTACTAAAACTACAAAAATTAGCCGGGTGTGGTGGCGCGTGCCTGTAATCCCAGCTACTATACTCAGGAGGCTGAGGTGGGAGAATCGCTTGCGACCGGGATGGGGAAGCTGCAGTGAGCCGAGATCACAGCACTGCACTCCAGCCTTGGCGAGACAGAGCGAGACTCCATCTCCAAAACAAAAAGTTCGCTGTTGGAAAGTGTAAAATTCAATGGCATTTAGTACATTTGCAGTGTTGTGCTGCTGCAGATGCGGGGGCCAGGCCAACCAGGTCTGGGAAGTGTGATGTCAGGAAGTGGATGACCCTCAGGTTGCTGGGTGTCAGGGCAGGAGCACCCACGCATGCATTCGGTGAACGTTCTCTGAGCTACCGTGTGTGCTAGGTGCACGGTAGATGAGAAGGAAAACAAAAACAAGAACAAAAAGACTCAGTCCCTGTCCTTAGGGTGCCCACTATCCCATGGCAGAGTCAGGCACTGACAGAAAAAAATGTCACTTCCACCTTCGGGGTTGCACAGGTGCTGTCAAGCAGTGGCACAAGGGGCTATGAAAGTCTTTTCTAGGGGAACTGAGCTGGCCTGGAGATCAGGGAACATTTCCAGGAGAAAGGGACCAACTGTCTTGCTAAGGGCTGAGATATGTGAAAGTTTTAACAATTTTTTCAGCAAAGAAAACAGGGAAGAGTGCCCTGGGGAGCGAGAACGGCGTACGCAAAGGCTGTGTGGCGAAGAGTGCATGGTGAGTAGGCACACGGAGAGGGTCATTGTGCTGGGCTGGGAGGAGCAAGAGGGAGCAGCGAGCGGGTGGGGGCAGGTTGGGGAGGGGCCAGATTTGTTGGGCCTCCTGGCCCTGGCTGTTTAGTAGAATCGTGGGTGAGCTTTGGAACTAACCGGTTGGGATGTAACTGAGTCGGGTTCTGATTCACTCGGTGTGGGGTGAACCCGGCTGTGGGTGTTGTTGAAACGCACCTGCTGCAGGTGATGTCAGTGTGCAGCCAGGCTGAAAAAGGCTGCGTCTTTCAAGGCCTTTGTCCTAAGAAGGCAGGGGCAAGGTTTTCAGCGTGGGAGGTGGGAGAGTGGGGGCGGGTCTCGCAATCAGATTTGCTTTTGGAGGAAGAATGAAAACAAATGACTGAGCCACAAGCCCTACTTTAGGGGTCGTCCAGGTCCTGAGCTTACAATCAAGAGAAGAGCAGCAGAGGCCCAGCCCCTGCAGCTGGAGCGGGGCTGCGTCTGCTGAAGTTCTGGGCCTGGGTTTGGTGGGGGGAAGGGTGGCAAGGCCAGCCCGGCTTTTGGACTCACGCACTCCTGGTTTCCCGGCGTCCTACTGCTTGAAGGACGACCATGTTTTCCTGCAGCAACCCCACATGGCAGAATGAAGCAGGGAGGCCGTGCTGACTCAAGCCCAGGGCTCAGTTTCTGGGTGGCCTGGCTGTGGGTGGGGCGCCCTGTGGGGGCGGGAGAGGGAGAAGAGCGGGCTCTTTGGAGTGTGAGGAAGCGACCCGGAGTCCCCTGCCTGGGAGGACTGTGTGGGAAGGGGGAGAGGACCATAAATGAAGGTCAGTAACAGGGCAGCAGGGATGAAGTGGGGTCGAGGTCTGGCTCTCTAAGAAGGCAGCCTCAGGGAACATCTGTTTCCATTCACAGCTGGGAGCCGGGCTGGGCGGGGCCCGCCTAAAGGCCAGTTGTGCAATGGGAGGGGCCTTTCCCATATCCCTGCTCCCTGCTCTTTGCGAAGGCCACAGTGAGGAGGGAACCGCTGTGAACTAGGCACCTCCTAAGTGCTGAGGGCCTTTGGGCTGATCTACACTGTCTCATTTAATTTTCCGGACTTCCTGGCTCAGAGCGTGTGAAGGCTGGCCTCAAGTCACACAGCACAGTGTTTGGATCCAGGGCTGATTCCTCCCATAGACACAGCAGGCACAGTGTCCAGGGTCCGTGAGACTTGGAGGGGCCCAGGAAGGTGTTTTAATTTTTCTAAAATAGGAGGGAAAAAAAGAATACAATCCAGCTTGTATTATTCATCTTTTAAATCAATGCACCTGTAAAAAATGATTGTGAATGTATTTTTTTCAGTAGAGAAAGGGGCCTGCAAAGGCAGAAGCGCTAGGGCTGGTCACGTAATGTGCCTCTGTTTGGATGGTGCCATCCTACCACTCAAGCAAGGCCCAAACCTAGGGTCTGCCGGCCTCTTCCTTCCTCTCCTCCCCAAGGCCAGAGGGCTGTAGCCCTTCTCTTGCCTTCGGCTCCATGATCCCTCCAGCTAGGTCAAATCCCTTACTCTGTGCCCGTACTGCACCTGACCTTCCTATAATAAGCGTATCATGTAAGGGTTTCAAGCACAGGTTCTGAACCCCAGTGTCTGGGTTCGAATCCAGCTCTGCCACTGATGAACTGTGCTCAGTTGACAAATTCTTAATCTCTCCGACTCTCATCCCTTGTCTGTAAAGTGCGGATGGTAGGAGAACCTACTTATCAGAGTTTTGATGGATGAATGGTGAATGTTTTAAAACCACTTGATTGTTAGTCTAAGACTCAGTTTCCTTATCTGTAAAATGGGGGTGATGATAGTGCTCACCTAGAAGAGTTGTAATAGGTTAAATGAGTAAATGTTCTTATTTTGTTTTATTTATTTATTTTTTGAGACAGAGTCTTGCTCTGTTGCCCAGGCTGGAGTGCGGTGGCACAACCTTGGCTCACTGCAACCTCTGCCTCCTGGGTTCAAGTGATTCTCCTGCCTCAGCCTCCTGAGTAGCTGGGACTACAGGCACCCACCACCACACCTGGCTCATTTTCGTAGTTTTAGTAGAGAGGGGGTTTCACGGTGCTGGTCAGGCTGGTCTCGAACTCCTGGCCTCATGTGTTCTGCTCCCCTCAGCCTCCTAAAGTGCTGGGATTACAGGCATGAGCCACCATGCCCGGCTAGAGTGATTATTTTTAAAGCCCTCAAAACCATGTGTGGCACGAAATGGTACCATCTGAGAGATTATTAAAAATACTGATTAATATCTGGCCCCTCCGTGTGGCAGTGAGCCTTAGAGGGGCTGTGGCTGGGCCTGGTTTTACTCTCCTTGGTGTCCTCAGGCATGACATAGACACATAGTAAGTACTCACATACTTGAATGAACGAATGAGCGTACTCTGCTCCTCCTCGTGCCAGTATGTTTCTCTCTGCTGGAAGTCATTCACATTTTAGTGTGAAGTGTGAATTAATGCTGCCTGTCCCCTTTGCATGATCTGATCACTATGGAAAAAAGGTTCTATCTCCCTGGGAAAGGAATGTGAGGCCTCAGTGACCAGGTCGGGGCATTTTATTGGCAGTAAGGATGTTTTCCTGGACCCTACACCTAGGAGCATGTCCTCTGCCTCCTTAAAGCAAGGCATTGAAGCACTTGTGCCCTTTATATTTTTAAAGATAACAACCAGGCACGGTGGCTCACACCTGTAATCCCAGCACTTTGGGAGGCCAAGGTGGGCGGATCACCTGAGGTCGGGAGTTCGAGACCAGCCTGACCAACATGGAGAAATCCCATCTCTACTAAAAATACAAAATTAGCCAGGCTTGGTGGCACTTGCCTGTAATCCCTGCTACTTGGGAGACTGAGGCAGGAGAATCGCTTGAACCCAGTAGGCGGAGGTTGTGGTAAGCTGAGATCATGCCATTGCACTCTAGCCTGGGCAACAGAGTGAGATTCTGTCTCAAAAATCATAATAATAAAAATAAAATAAAACAAATAAATAAATAAATATAACATTTTCCTCCTTTTTCTGAGGGACAGAAGCCTTTGGCCGGCAGCACAGGTCAAACCCCAGCTCAGAGGAGACGAGAGGCCCAGCCAGTTCCAAGGCCTCCCCAGAGGAAACCTCGCCCACAGATCCGCAGGAAGTTGCAGTAATGAGTTGGTGAGTCCCCAGGAGGACTGCCCGCTAAGTTGGGATCAAGTTCAGGCTGCCAGAGCTCAGATAAACTAGAAGAGCCTCTGCCACTTGGGACATAAAGTTCTGAGCCTGGCGGGAAGCTGGGAAGGGGTGGTGGCCCTGAAATCATGATGGCACGCAAGCCCTGGGGAGCAACCTCAGGCCCCAGCTGGGAGCATCCAGCCTGGCTGTCAGGCTGCAGTCCTGCCTTGTCACTGATCAAAGGAAAGCAGTTGGTTCCCCTGGCAGATTTGTTCTGTGTTTATTTCTCCTCTTGGAGCTTTTCTCCTCGCACACAAGACCCGCAGTACTGCTGTGTTCTCCGAGTAGTAGTTACGTTTCTTGTGTCAAAGGCTTCAGGAGGTGGTTTTATAAGTTAATGTTTGCAAGAAATTAACTGAAGAGTCACTGCTCAGCATCCTGGGTCCCTGTCGTCTGAACACCGCTGCGGAGTGGATAGCTCAATTGAAGGACATTTATTGAGTGCTTCATGTGTGCCAAGCCCTGTGTATATTGAGGAAAGCACTTTGGAGTTCAGTCACTAGCTCGGACTTTGGAAAATGCACCTAAATTCTGTGGCCTTCCATTTCTTTATAGAACAGGGATCATTCCTGACGGGGCCAGGATGATGACATTGATTCTGTCCATCGGTCTGGGACTTACTGAGGGCTGATGCCACCCAGTCCCTGTGCAAGGCGCTGGGTTGCAGGCAGTAAGAGATGCAGATACTTGACCTTGCAGAGCCTATATCCTGCTTGTGGATTTAGGACCTTCCTCTTTTTTTAAATTTTTAATTAATTATTTATTTATTTTTAATAGAGTCTGGCTCTGTCGCCCAGGCTGGAGTGCAGTGGGGCCATCTTGGCTCACTGCAACTCCACCTCCCAGGTTCAAGCAATTCTTCTGCCTCAGCCTCCCGAGTAACTGGGACTGCAGGTTCCCACCACCACACCCAGCTAATTTTTGTATTTTTCATACAGATGGGGTTTCCCCATGTTGGCCAGGCTGGTCTTGAACTCCTGACTTCAAGTGATCTGCCCACCTCAGTCTCCCAAAGTACAACCTTCCTCTTGATGCTGTAACAAATGACCATAAACTTAGTGACATAGATGGAGCTGGAGGCTATGATCTTAAGTGACCTAACGCAGGAACAGAAAACCAAAGACCACACGTTCTCACTTCTAAGTGGAAGCTAAACGTTGACTACGAGTGATTGTAAAGATGGGAATGATAGACACTGGGGACCACTAGATGGGGAAGGGAGGAAAAGGGGGGATGGGCTGAAGAACCACCCGTTGGGTGCTCTGCTTATGGCCTGGGTGATGGGATCATTGGGATCTGAAGCCTCAGCATCATATAATTTACCAATTGTGAACTCAACAAGTTCACAAGTCTATGATTTCACAGTTCTGTTGATTAGAAGTCCCATCTGAGTCCCGCTGGGGTAAACTCTGGGGGTTTGCAGGGCTGTGCTCCCTCTGAGGTTCTAGGGGATCACTTCCCTTGACTTTTCCAGCTTCCAGAGGCCGCCTGCATTCCTTGGCTCTTGGTCCCTTCCTCCATCTCCAAAGCCACAGCATCCGTGTCAAATCAACTTTCCCTTGACTTCTACCCCCACCCGACTTCCACCATTCATCTCCTTCTCTGACTCTTACTCTCTACTTCCCTCTTATAACGACCCTCGTGATTACATTGGTCCCACCCAGATAATCCAGGATATTCTCCCCGTCTCAAGATCTTTGATTTAATCCCTTCTGCAAAGTCCCTTTTGCCAGGCAAGGCCATATGGTCACAGATCCTAGGGATTCGGATGTGGACATCTTTTAAGGGCCCATGATTCTGACTACCACGGGGAAAGAGACAATCAGTGATAAACATAATAATTACATTATGGAAAAAGAAAGCAGGACAAAGGGGGTTGGGAATTTACAGTGGTGTAAAAGAGACAGATGGTGATTTTAAAAGCTCAGTTGGGGTAAGCCTCATTGAGAAAGCAAAATTGGAGCACAGACTGGAAGGAATTGAGGGACCAGCTAAGCAGGTGTCTGGGGAGAGAGCAACTGGGGGGCTGTGCAAAGGCCCTGGGGTGGAAGCTGTCAAGGAAGAAGCTATAGCAGAGCAAGCATGGTGAAGAGAAGTGTAGATGGTGATCTCAAGAGCCCAGCACTGTGCCAGGCATATAGTAAATGCTCACTAAAAGAGGTTCCTGTCCATGTCCCCAAGAAAGCTTCGGGGATGGACAACACTCAGCCCTGTCCTCAAAAGTTTATGGTCAAGTGAGGACAGAGGAACATGTAAAACCGTCTTCTACATACTATTCATTCAACACTCACGACAACCCTGTGAGACAGGTATGCTACTCCCATGTTACAGATGAGTCACCCAAAGAACAGAGGGCTGGTCACTTGCCCAAGGTCATACAGCTGGGAGGTGTCAGAGCAGGTATCTACACTCAAGCAAGCTGGCTTCAGAGTCTGTGTTCTTTTTTAAAATTTCAACTTTTATTAAGATTAAAGGGTATATATGTGCAGATTTGTGACGTGGGTAAATTACATGCTGCTGAGCCTTGAGGTCCCAGTGCCCAACGGGTAACTCTTCAGCCCATGTCCACTTTCCCCCCTCTCCCATCTACTGGACTCCAGTGTCTGTTGTTTCCATCTTTATGTTCATATGTATGCGATGTTTCGCTCCTGCTTACAAGTGAGAACGTGTGGTGTTTGGTTTTCTGTTCCTGCATTGGGCCACTTAGGATAATGGCCTCCACCTCCATCCATTGGAGCCCTTGCTGCAAAGGGCGTGATTTTGCTGTTTGTTATGGCTGTACAGTATTCCATCGTGTACAGATACCACGTTTTCTTTATCCAGTCCGCTGCTGATGAGCACTCAGGTTGATTCCATGTCCTTGCCATTGTGAATAGCACTGTGTAACAAACATGTGAGTGCACTTGTCTTTATGATAGAATGAATTACTGTCCTTTGGGGATTGAATCTTAGAGAGGGAGTTTGATATCTCAGACCAGTACCACTTAGTAGAAACTTAAGGCAAGCCACATGTGTAATTGTAAATTTTCTAGTAGCCATGTGAAACAGGTATGAAGCTGGGTGCAGTGGCTCATACCTGTAATCCCAGCACTTTGGGAGGCTGAGGTGGGTGTATGGCTTGAGCCCAGGAGTTCAAGATCAGCCTGGGCAACATAGTGAGACCCCATCTCAAAAAAGAAACAGGTACAGTTAATTTAATACCATACTATATTTAACCCAATATAGCATAAACATTAACAGTTGAATGCACAACCAACATAAAAACTCCTAATGAAATGTTGGCATTTTTTTTCCTGTCTCCAGCCAACAATAGATGTTAGCAAGGCTGTGGAGAAAAGGGAACGCCAAGGCAGGAGAATTGCTTGAACCCGGGAGGCAGAGGTTGTAGTGAGCTGTGATTACGCCACTGCACTCCAGCCTGGGCGACAGAGCGAGATCCACTGTTGTTGGGAAGGCAAACTAGCTCAGCCACTGTGGAATGCAGTTTGGAGATTTCTCGAAGAACTTAAAGTAGAACTACCATTCAACCCAGCAATCCCACGACTGGGAACATGCCCAAAGGACAGTAATTCATTCTGTCATAAAGACACATGCGCTCCTATGTCTTCCAAATCTGGTCTGCATTTTATTCTTATGACAGATCTCAATTCGGACCAGCCGTGTTTCACAGGGAAGTACAGAGAGCGACAGCCACATCGAGCCATCAAGCAGGCAGATGAAATGTGTTATGCATGACTCTTCATTCCACAGTCTTTACTGAGTGTCTGCTTTGTACCAGGCACTGCTTAGGCATCGGCGATTCCAAAGCGAACAAACAGATCCCCAAAAGCTGCCACCTTGGAGCTGACATCCTAGTGTGGAGACATAGACAACAAACACAGAAAGCAAAGTCAGTAAAATACAGAATCTGTCAGGTGGAGATGAGCATGAAGAAGCATAAAACCGAGAGGGGCAGCATGAGTCCCAGTGGTATGGAAATGGTAGTTTTCAATCCCGGGGTCAGAGAGAGGACCACAGCAAGAAAATGACACGTGAGCAAAAGTCTGAAGGAGGTGATGGGCGAGGAGTGCCGCAGCTGGGTGGAAAAGCATTCCAGGTGGAGGGCGCTGCAGGGGCACAGGGCTGGCGCCTTGCCCAGCAAGGAGGCTGAGAGAGGGCATTTAGAACCTCATCTACCCAGAGGGAGGGGAGTCATACTCTTGGCAGAAATGGGGCCACCCAGGGATTGAGAGAGAGAGAGAAAGGCAGGAAATGGGCCAAGACTGTAACATCAACCGGAAACGCCTACCTTTTAAGGGGAAGGTGGAGGAGATGGAGGATGAGCAAAAACCACTTGGGAGGCGTTGGCTGCCTTAGGAGAGTGCGAGACCCCAGGTTCCAAGGAGCAGGAAGTTTCTCAAATGGAACCTGGGCCAAGGGTGGCACTCTGCCTGGGCAACAGGGTGAGGGTAGAGGAGGCCCAAGAGGTGGTGGCGCCAGAACGCTCATCTCCTTAACAGCAAGCATGTGTACAAAGCCTAAGATAGTCGCGTAATGCAGCTTGGACCTCGTGGCAAAACCTGCGGGTAGGTTTCTGGTTCCTTATCCCTGTTTCACAGATGAGAAAACAAGAGGCAAGAGGATGGGGCAAGACCTGTTCCAGGTCGTCCTGGGTAGGGGTACCAGCCCAATCACCTATGTGGGTGACTCCTGGCTTCTAAATAAACAGCCTCACCCTGCGGGAGGGCATTGAGACTGTGTCCCAAAAAGCTGAAAGAAGAGGCCAGTACAGCACCCTGGACAAGGCCCCATAAGGGCCTCAGCCAGTAGTTTCCCGATGGAGAAATGAACGAATATTCTTAGAATCTAGGGGTAAGGTAACGACCAGCCGCTGCCCCAGCGGAGGCAAAGGAGGCATCTAGGGTCTAAATGTAAAAAAGACTCTCACTCTTGGGTTCCTGCATTTACAGGACTCTGATGGTGAACTTAAATTTTGCATTGCTCACTGGCAAGTGTCTTAACCACTCCTGTGCAATGGGGCCCTAGACAGCACCTGCTTATATGGCTAATAGGAGACCTAAATGCATTAAAATGCAGAAGTGCTTCAAACATTGTCCTAACCCACAGACTAGATCGTTTTTAAGGTTGTTTGTTTGTTTGTTTTGTTTTTTGTTTTGTTTGTTGATATAGGGGGTCTTGCTCTGTGCACCAAGACTAGAGTACAGTGGTACGGCTCACTGCAACCTCGCCTCCCAGGTTCAAGTGATTCTCCTCGCCTCGCCTAAAGAAGTACTGGGATTACAAGCATGTGCCACCATGCCTGGCTAATTTTTGTATTTTAGTAGAGACCAGGGTTTCACCATGCTGGGCAGCCTGGTCCTCAAACTCCTGATCTTAAGTGTTCTGCCCACCTTGCCTCCCAAAGTGATCACGGGCCACTGCAGCCTCAACTCCCAAGCTCCAAGCGCGATACCTCCCGTCTTAGTCTCCCAGGGTAGCTGGGACTACAGATGTGCATCACCATGCCTGGCTACTTTTTATTTTTATTTTTTTTTGTCGAATTGGGTCCTCACTATGTTGCCAAGACTGGCTTGAACTCCGGGCTCAAAGGGATCCTCTGCCTCCCTAAGTGCCTAGGATTACAAGTCGTGAGCCACCGCGCACCTGACCTACACGGAACTATATCTGTTTTGCACTATTGTCATTCACCAAAAAGGCTGAGAGGTTGATGGTACCTGCCAGGGCATCTTTTTTTTTTTTTTTTTTTTTTTTGAGACAAGAGTCCCCTGGTCACCAGCCTGGAGTGCAAGTGGCCGGACCTCAGCTTACTGCAAGCTCTGCCTCCTGGTTTATGCCATTCTCCTGCCTCGCCTCCCGAGTACTGGGACACAGGCGCCCGCCACTCACCGCACCGGCTTAGTTTTTTTGTATTTTTTAGTAGAGACGGGGTTTCACCGTGGTTAGCCAGGATGGTCTCGATCTCCTGACCTCGTGATCCACCTGCCTCGGCCTCCCAAAGTGCTGGGATTACAGCCTTGAGCCACCGCGCCCGGCCTGCCCAGGGCATTCTAAAGGCTGTGCTGGCCAGGGGCTGGGGAGTGAGGGTCTCTAGGGAGGGAGGAACCGACCTTTCTCGAGCACTCACTCTGTGCAAGTGTTGGGCACGGCTGGCACCCTCTTCTGTAGCCCCACATCAACCTCATGAGGCAGGTGCTTTCCCATGCCCCTTTTACAGATGAAAGAACTGAGGACCGTGAGCAAGAGGCTTTCCAGCGTCTCACAGAGGCTGAGCTGGGATCAGGCAGCTGCGTCAAGCCTAGTGCTTGGGTCCCTTCTGCTTCACCTAGGAGGTGCCACAGGGTCTGACCTACCTGGGTTCCAGCCTCCTCTCTGCTGCTGTTGCATGACCTCAGGCAGCCCCCTCTGTTTCCTCATCTGTAAAGTGGGCATCAAAACAGTATCTGTTTGGGGGGCAGGTGCAGTGGCTCACGCCTGTAATCCCAGCACTTTGAGAGGCCGAGGCGGGCAGATCATTTAAGGTCAGGAGTTTGAGACCAGCCTGGCCAGCATGGTGAAACCCAGTCTCTACTAAAAATACAAAAATTAGTCAGGCGTGGTGGCACATGCCTGTAATCCCAGATACTTGGAAGGCCGACGCAGGAGAATCGCTTGAACCCGGGAGGCAGAGGTTGTAGTGAGCTGTGATCACGCCACTGCACTCCAGCCTGGGCGACAGAGCGAGATCCATCTCAAAAAACAAAACAAAACAAAAAACCAGTATCTGTCTTGGAAGTGCTGAGAACAGACAAGGGAATATACAGTGTGTGAAATGTTGAGCCCACTGTGCTACATTCCTGTAAAACACACACGTGCACACACGCACATACACGTTCACACACAGGCACACATGCAGATACACAGGCTGACAGTGACAGCACACTTCTGTGTGTGAAATGCTTCATGTGCTCAATTTCATTTAAATCTCACAAGAAACACACGCTATAAGGAACGACCCACAGGCCCACATCAGAGAGGAGGACCCTGGGGGGTGCAAGGGTGGGAGTTGTCTCTTCACAGCTGCACCTTTGGCCAGTCCCCGTCCAGCAGCCTCTTCCAAAGGACATTTTATGGGCAGATAGCTTGTCAGCCCAGCTTGAAATGTGAACAAGGTAACAGCTGAGCCCCCATCCATCCTGCTGCACTCCCCTGCATGTCCAGCCCCAAGCCCTGCGTCAAGCACACCTCCTCGGGAGGAGACCGCCCCAGCCTGCAAGGAAGTGCTCATTATGGAGAGTGGAGAGTGACAGGCCACTCCCGGCCACGTCTCCAAGCAAGCCGGTGCCCCCTCCTCCTGCTGCCACCGCCCACTGAGCTGCCTGGACTGCAGACGCCCTGGTCGGAGCCTCTGGGGCCAGATGTTATAGGGCAAGCTAAAAATAACCGGGCAGGCCAGCCACCATCGAGGAAGGAGCATGTGCTGGACGCGGACACATGATCCGAGGGACTCTGCTGGGTGGAACTAAGGAAGTCCAGCAGGCTGTGCACGCTCCTGTCCCCACTCGCAGGCCCACGCGGCGAGGGGGCCCCTCTTCTGTGTGCGTCTGGAAGGTTGCTGCCCAGTGAGGAAATGCCTTTAACCAGCGTGGGGCCGGGCAGCCGCAGGAGGCAGATCATCCAGGCTCTGTGCCTCTCGCTACTTCTGCTCCACGCCAGCTCTGCCAAGAATATCTGGAAACGGGCATTGCCTGCGAGGCTGGCCGAGAAATCCCGTGTAAGTGCCTGGGATGGGGAGACTGGGGCAGCCTCTGTGGGTGGGAGGCAGCCTTGAGGAGAGGTGATCCCTGCACACTGCCTTCTCCTGTAAGTGCTGTCCCAAAACGTGGCAGGGCAGGCGTCTTCCTATCCTTGTGTGTCTGAGTTGTGTGGTGGGCAGATGGGGTTCACCTCCCGAAAAGGACCCTTGCCTGTGAGTCAAGAGGCAACAGACACATCACATGTGTGCAAAAGAATCGTGCCTCGCTTTTGCCTTATTACAAAAGTATACATGCTCCTGAAAGACAGCATCTAATTTCAGAGCCCCAGGACTTAAATGGAGCATTCCGTCTCCATGATCAGTACCAAATGTTTGTGAAATATACTTACACATTCATGTGGTTGTTTATTCATTCTGCAAACAGAGTGAATACATTCTGCTAAACAGAATTTAGCAGAAACCACTCTGGGGAAGGCACTGTCTGGGGTCCTGTGGGTGTAAGATGAAGGAGGTACCAGCCCCCATCCTCAAGGGTGGCGTGGCCGAGGTGCAGAGGCAGTTGGGTGACAAATGATGGCAGTACAAAGAGAAGGCGCGGGGCAGCGAGTGGCAAGAAACGCACGCCCTGGGGCCAGCTGCTTGGTGTGAATCGGGCTCTGCTGCTCATTAGCTGCGTGACTTCTCTCAGGCAAGCTGCTTGACATCTCTGAACCCCGGTGATCTCATCTGCAAAAGAGAGAGGGATGCACTCCTTCTCACAACTATGTCTGGGTCGCCACTGTTTACCAGGCACTGTCCTAGGCTGTGGGGATACAGACCTCAGATCTCTGCCTGGAGAACTCACTGGGGGGCTGGGGGCAGCAGAGAATAAATGAGAGAGATCTCATTTATTAGTGTGTGCAGCTTGCGAGTGCTGAGGAAGCAATAAAGTGGGAAGGGAACTAGGAGTGAGAATGGAGTGGAGGAGCCTATCATTTTTGCTTCCTCCCACTCCCCAGAGACCACAGATCCGCAGGGACAGAGTGAGCCAGGACACTGTCAGCACACAGAGGGATCGAGAAGGTAATGCTGGCACCCACAGCACCTGCGTGAGGATTAAATGACTCAGTAGGCAGAACGTCTTTGCAACAGAGCAAGCTGGCAGTACATCTTGGCAGCTTTCAATCAAATAATTGTGACTTTGGTTGGTGTTGCCTAACAGGGTAGCATGTAGGTTCCTTGGGGTAGGGCGGGATTCTGTTTCACTAGCGTGTGCCCCTGGTGCCTGCCATTAAGTTGGCACCTGGTACATTCTTGTGGGTGAATGATGAGCAGATGCAGTGGTAGCAGGGGATGTGTGTGCAGCTCTTCCCCAGGAGAGTCGGACAGGGTTTTCAGGGTTGGGGACATTGGACCTGGGGCTTTAAAGGATAAATAGGAGTTTGCCAGCTGGAGAAGAGGGAAGGGAGAATGATTAATGACCCCAGGCACGGTGGGGTGTCTGAAACTGTACTGAGGCAAATCTGGGCCTCCAGCACTCATAGTCTCCATGTTGGCCACGTGCTCGTGGTGGGAGACAGGAGGCCTCCAAGAGGTGGAGAGAGTAGTAGAGTGAAATGATGAGGCGCTTGGAGAAGGGAAAGCTCACGTGAGGTGGTGTAGTCACCTAAGGCTTCCTGGAGGAGGTGGAGACCCTGACTGGAGCTTGGGGAAGGATTAGGAATTAGGAGAAGGAAGGACATTCCTGGAAGAAGGCTCAGCATGAGCCGAGGCTCACAGGCAGAAGTGGTGCATCTGAGAGCTGCTTGGGAGACCAGACCTGGCCAGAGGGGAGGCAATGAGGAAGGTGAGAGTCTCTTCTCAGATTGTATTGACTTCTCTGTGCTCTTCTCTGGTGCAACAGGATGATTTAACCCTCACCTGTAGTGCTTTGGTTCTACAACCACAGAGAGATTCCCAATATGTCATCTGATTTTATCTCCACCATGTCCCAAGATGTCATAGGAGCCAGCACCGTGACATCCACATAGGACGGTCGGGGTTGATGTACACGTGGGATTCGGGGGAGTCTCTGAAACACAGGCCTGGGTGGGCTGCAGGAGCTGATTCTCTTGTAGCCACCACTGGTCAGGATGCAAGTGCTTTGAATTGGCCCCGCGCTGAACTGAAACTCCCTGGTTATCAACAGATATTGGCCTCCTTCCTCAGCGCCTAGACACAGGCGAGGTTTACGCAGAACAACTGTGCCGGCAGGGCGCGGTGGCTCACGCCTGTAATCCCAGCACTTTGGGAGGCCGAGGCAGGTGGATCACCTGAGGTCAGGAGTTCAAGACTAGCCTGACCAACATGGTGAAACCCCTTCTCTACTAAAAATACAAAATTAGCTGGGCGTGGTGGCACATGCCTGTAATCCCAGCTACTCGGAAGGCTGAGGTGGAAGAACTACTTGAACTCGGGAGGCGGAGGTTGCAGTGACCTGAGATCGCGCCATTGCACTCCAGCCTGGTCAACAAGAGTGAAACTGTCTCAAAAAAAAGAACAACTGTGCCTCACAGAAAGCCCTGGGCAAAGACAGGCTGTTGGCTGTGGCTCAGAGGACAGGGAGGGCTGGGAAGAGCGCCTGGCCTAGAACTCATCACAGCGACATCTCTAATGTGCTGTGCAATCTTGGACCACTCACTGCCCTTCTCTGGTCCTCAGTCCTCACCTGGGAAATGAAGATGGAGAACTTACAACTTTCATGGCCTTTTCGTTGTGATTCTAATTTCCACCAAAACACGCGACAGGGACTTAGGGGTGATAGGAAGCAGCCCTCACGTGCTCCAAGTGGAGACTTCCCCACGAGGCACTACTTTCTGACCCTGCGCTGAGTCAGACCTTCAGCCTGGGTTCTGTCCCTCAAGGGCTATGGGCTGGTCAGGGTGAGGAGACGCTGGGTGTGGGCTGAAGCTGGCTTGCACCCCCTCTGGAGAGCCAGTTTTGCTCCGCACAGCCATGATCACAAATTAAGTTATATAAACTTACAACTAAATCATTTATATTAAAAAGAAAGGAAAGAATTGTTTTTTTTTAAGACAGAGTCTCTTGATGTGATCTTAGTTCACTGCAACCTCCACCTCCCCGGCTCAAGTGATTCTTGTGCCTAGGCCTCCTGAGTAGCTGGGATTACAGGCATGCACCACCACGCCCGGCTAATTTTTTGTATTTTTAGTAGAGATGGAATTTTGCTGGTCTCAAACTCCTGGGCTCGGCTGATCCACCCGCCTCGGCCTCGCAAAGTGCTGGGATTCCAGGCGTGAGCCTCCGCACCCAGCCAGGAAATACTTCTTATTAGAAATGCGTCACTTTCCAATTGTATTGCTCCATTTTGCTATCCTCTCTGCTCCTGGGGTTTTATGTCTCTTGCATCCGTGTGGTATGACTAGGAGAGAAGGTACTCCACATCTCTTCCTACTCCCATTCAGTGGCCTCACGTGGGTTACCTGAAATCAACCATGCTGTGAGTACACCTTGGAAACTGGCCAAGGCTGCGTGTGGAGAGCTGGTGGCTCAGTCCTGAGCAAGCGCATGGCTGCCGGTAGCCTGCTCTGCTTTGTCAAAGCCTCGTCCCCCAGCAGAGTGACTTTTGTGTAGGGGACTGGACTCTTAGAGTGGGGTCGGTTAATGTCCTGAGTGCTGTTTATGCATCTTGGTCTAAGCATGCAGAGACAGTGCCAGAGACGAGCACGCTTGCCTTCCATTCCCATGGGAGGAAGAGACCCTGACTGGAGCTTGGGGAAGGATTAAGAATTAGGAGGAGGAAGGCCATTCCTGGAAGAAGGCTCAGCAGGAGCCGAGGCTCAGCTCACAGGCAGAAGTGGTGCATCTGAGAGCTGCTTGGGAGACCAGACCTGGCCAGAGGGGAGGCACTGAGGAGAGGTGAGAGTCTCTTGTCTTCCATTCCCATGGGAGGCCCTTAGCGGAGGCTTCTAATGAGAAGTGCTGGGTCTCCCACCTTCTCTCTCTAAGACCTTCCGGAGGTTCCTTCTCCTATCTGAGCCTCAGTTTCTTCATCTTCAGCGTAGGACACAGCAGTGCCTTCTTTGCAGGGTTCAGTAAAAAGGCCATGGAGCCTATGGTTCCCTGCCTGGCACAGAACTGCATTCCCTAGATGTGTACTACGGACAGATTTAAAAACCCATTCCCGGCCAGGCACAGTGGCTCATGCCTGTAATCCCAGCTACTCGGGAGGCTAAGGTAGGAAAATAGCTTGAACCTGGGAGGCAGAGGTTGCAGTGAGCCGAGATTGTGCCATTGGACTCCAGCCTGGGCAAGAAGAGTGCAACTCCATCTCAAACAAACAAACAAACTAGCAAACAAACAAAAAACTCCATTCCAGAACCAAATATTTATGAGACTGAATAAAACAGAAGCAAAATGTTTGTAAATAGTCCAATAACCTTTCCATGGAGCTCAGTCGGTTCTGTGGAGTTGGTATTTTTGGCTTTTCTTTCCTGGCATTAGATAAAACTCCTGAGAACAATGATTTACTGAGCGCTTATGCTGTGTCAGGATAAGCATTTGCCATGCATTCGCGCTTGGGAGCCTCTCAACAAATCCACCAGGTGGGGACCACGGCAGCCACATGTGGGTCTGGGTGCTGCGCAGCCTCTGGACTGGGCAGGACGGCCCCTGCTGTCAGTGTGACTGTGGGTCTGTTTTCCCCTCTAAGCACCCAACCGGGGCAACTGGAAATGGTGGTTCAGTTTGCACCCTGCCCAGAGATGCCTGTCCTGCTGAGGGGCAGCCAGGAGCAACAGATGCCACTTTCTCTTTCAAATGCATCCTGCCAGACGGGGGCCCATCTGTCTGGAGGCACCCCCTGTGCTAATAGCAGTAGGGGACCGTAGGAGCCAGCAGTGGCCCACACAACTCGCATTCCTCAGTTCCCCAACCTAGTTCTCCTTTCCTCCATTATTTCTGTGAGCTCTTGAAAGCTTTCCAAATATCCTTTTATTTTTTGCTGAGATAGCAAGAGTGGGAGAGGCAGATGGCCTGGA